TACAATAGTTTTAGCTACATGTTTTAAAATTGAAATCATGACTTTTGCAGATGTTTTCAAATGATTGGGGGGTTTACCTTCTGGTGCATACCAGATTTTTTTTTTTTAAAGCAACTCTCTGGTTTTGAAAATTACTCTAAAGAGGTTTGGAGCTGAGCTCTTATTCTTACTTGAACTGATGACTACTCCTCTGATGAACCGGATGTCGCAGTTTCCTACATGTAGACTCATACTCGAATTTCAGGACAAAGCTACTTTCCTATGCTCAAAAATGAGAATGACATAAGCCTATAGTACACAGTTCTATGCTATCTAAACTTCTCCCAAACCTCTGATGTAACCACTGTGTTAAAGAGACAAAGAGGAGTAGTCACACCATTTGATGTCAGAAAATTTTTCTATTTAAAAAAAAAACAACAGTCTGAAGTCAAAAAACTGAGATGACATTTATTGAGAGGAGTATATTTCTTCGATTAAATGCAAAATTTCACAGATTCAATTTAGTAAACTAGATTTGCAGTGGCTTCACAACATTCCAGGAAAGGACATTCTAGGAAAGAGAGAGAGGAAAAGTTGTGGCTAAGTTATATTCTTGTAATACTCTATATGCATATACAGAACAGGTATTTGTGTTATATACTAATAGCCTAAGTACTATAGCTGCTCCAGTTTTTTCGTGTTAGCACTGAGCATTTTTTCAAGTAATCTAATACAGGAAATGGATGCATAAGGGCATGTTTAGATTGTACTGATTAATTGTATCCTGATACCAAACGTGTTCATTTAAAATTAGCAAAATAGCACCTGTGATACAAAAGTGTGGCTTCATGATTGAGAAACAGAAAACTGAAGTTTTAAATAACTCTGAATTCGACTTGCATTATTTTAAAAACATGTGTTTTTAAGACCAAATCTGAAAGGCAGAGAGAAGTGTCAATTACTCTGGCTTTGTTTAACTTTTTCAATTTGAAAGCTGTTTGATTAAGAATTCCCTGAAGTGGTCATATGTGGTACCATAAACACAAAAGCCCAATGAATGTGTTACCCTAGAACATCTTGTTTTTTAAAAATGTGGTCCAGTTGTACAAAACAGAATGGAAGATAAGACGCTTGCTTTTTGCAAGATTCATGCAGGTGAATGTGTATTCATATAGGAGATGTGTATCTTAGCATGCAACATTTGGTGGCTTTTCTTTTTCCCATTTGAGTATTCTGCTGTTTGGGCAAGGTATGGGTTGTTCTTTTAAAATTATTTTGACAGCCAATTTAATTAAATTGCTACATCACTGTTTTGGACTAAGGTATGTTGGGCATACAATGTAATATAATTAATACAAGATGATGTAGCCTTCCTTTCTTCTCAGATAACTGAATGGACTTTGGATTGTTGTTAATTACTTTGTCTTTTACAAACATAGTCAGTAGTAGTGTATGCTATGAGAAAGAGTGCTACCAAGTAGCAATGGTTAACTTACTATTTTACTCTTCTTTTAGATGGGTATGTTTATCTTGGTATGATGTTTGAAAATTGCCTACATAATACAAATCAGGCATCAAAACGTGATGCAGATTAGAATACAATATCTGAAAGGATACTGAAAGGATAATGAGTATTTGCAATTCTAGACACTTAATTTAGGAAAGACTGCTATAAAGTTAAGTTCATAATATGGTCTATAATTTCCCATTGATATTGAGTAAGCAGTCAAGAAATATGACTTTTCTCACTATCGTCAACATCTCAGTGCTACTAAAGTAGGAATAACCATAGTGCTTTCCTTATACGTTTGCTGTGAAGATTAAATAGCAATAAATGTTAACCACAACTATTACTGGAGCATTCAACTATTTTGGACCATGTAACCTGTTCATATTCAATCAGGCTGAAATCTTTAAAGTACATCTCACAATTTGTATTGTCAAGAGGCAAGCAATGAGCCTAATACAGGCTTAATACAAGATTAAAGATTAAGTCAACATTATAGTCAATACTTTATTTTTAACCAATTACCCAAATAATGCATATCTGTGGAGTGTGATGAATTTCAATCTACTAGCTTCCATTAAAAAAGTTATAATGAACAAAGCAATCAGTGTGACTTCTGAGAGAGACACATTTATCAAATCCTTGGACCAACACATACAAACAGTTTAGTCCAGGGACATCTGTACTCTATGAATCTTTTTTGGATAGTGGATAGCTCCTGCCAGGAACAGAACAAACTGTTTTTTAATGTGATCCTTCTCCTTCCTATTTCCTCATCACAGAAGAGTAATTGCCATAGATTTACTCCAAAAAAGTGAGATGAAGTGAACAGTTCAGTTGTATTTAAACTTGGCAGAAGGAGAAATGAATGCAAAAATAATTCCTGTTGGGATTGAACCAGAATGGAATTTTACAAATGGCTTATGCACCCTAACTGGGCAAAGCATGCCTTCAGTTTCTTGTGGAAGAATTACTTGTATTCTGTGGATAAACAGCTCTGGATTTCTGAAAGGGAGAAATGTTGGTATTCTGGGTAGAAGTGTTCTTCATTATGAGGGACTGTCCCATGCCCAGTGCATTCCATAATGTCTACCATCTCTGTCTCCTGAAGTACCAAATGCTGGTAGTTCCCCTAGACAATCTCCCTTCTCCTCACCTCCAGATTTGCAAACCTTCTAGAAAGGTGGGTAAAATCGCTGCCTGTAGAGAACCACTGTGTTAAAGAGACAAAGAGGAGTAGTCACACCATTTGATGTCAGAAAATTTTTCTATTTAAAAAAAAAACAACAGTCTGAAGTCAAAAAACTGAGATGACATTTATTGAGAGGAGTATATTTCTTCGATTAAATGCAAAATTTCACAGATTCAATTTAGTAAACTAGATTTGCAGTGGCTTCACAACATTCCAGGAAAGGACATTCTAGGAAAGAGAGAGAGGAAAAGTTGTGGCTAAGAAAATGAACTGGTACTAGCGCTACCACTCAGCTGTGATTATCTTGGGCAACTTTTTATTTTTTTTTCTGATAAAGGGCTAATGATATTCACCTCATAGGCATATTGACAATTAAGTGTGCTAATATGTGTGGCCTGTCAGCCCAGTTCCTGTTACTCTGTAAGCACTCAAATGTTAGTGATGTTTTAGTCCATTAATGGCACAGATGCTTGTGCAATATAAAAAACTGACTAGAACTATTTCTAGGGCATAGTAGGTCAGATAAAGTCCTAAGCTTTGAACTTCATGGGTCTTAGCTACTTGTCATCAGTAGCTCTCTAAAAGGGGAGGCAGCTTGGCCAGGCTTGGTGGCTCAGTCTGTAATTCCGCGCTTTGGGAGCCCGCGGGTTTGAGACCCGCCTGGGCAACTTGGCGAGACCTCATCTTTACAATAAATCAAAAATTAGCCGGGCGTGGTAGCATGCACCTGTAGTTCCAGCTACTCGGAAGGCTGAGGGAAAGGATCATCGGATCCCAGCAGGTTGAGGCTGAGGTGGCCGGGAGCGTGCCACTGCACTCCAGTCTGGGTGACAGAGAGAGACTTCAGCTCAAAATAAACAAATAATAAAATAAAATAAAAGGGGAGGCAGCTGTCACTACCTGTTGGGGAGAAAAGCCCTAAGGGAGCCCCTTCCTATCACCAAAACAAAGTTGTAAGTTTCCTCTCTATCCCTTCAATTGCCTACTGGCCTTTTGTGATTTGCCAATGTATCATTTACTAGAGAGATAAGACTTTTGAGACACCTAAGAAAACCTGAGAATTAAAACGATTTTTATTCTATATTAAAAAAATATAATTAATGAGGAATTTATTATATTTTATAAAATAGACTCTTCCTCCTTTCTGCTTCTTTGAAAGGGCAGATATTTACCTACATGGGGCTAAAAATTCATTTTCACATCTCTTCTTTCTCTTGTACATTTGCAGCATTTGCTTTTTGGGTTGCTTCTAGACAAAGAAAGCACTGTATTATAAAATGAAGGTTATCTCAGGTGAATTACAGTTCTTCAGATAACCAGTTTCGAGTACAAATGGGGACAAGAACGACTGAAAACTGGTACACAACTGGATGTGCCTTTTGTTGGAGAGGGAAAAGAGCTGAAGAAATCAGGGCGGGGACATGGGCACACACTTAGGTGCCATGCTTTGTGGTTTAAGAAAGCCACTGTGGGCAGAGTTCACTTGCATATTGTAGTGTTGAAGATGGAAAACCAAGCACAAACAAGGGACAGAGTTACCTTCAGTTGTAAAACAGATGAACTGCCTCAGTATAGGAAAGTATGACCTTACAATAAGCTTACAATATTACTTTACTGTGCTTGAAATTTGTTTTATTATAAAGAATTTCCAGAAACATTCTGATTTCTAATTATTTGTATTTTTCTTACACTTACAAGTTGTCCTACTTGCATACTAAATTGCGTGTATTTGTGGTCTATATCTTTAGAAATCACTGGTAGTTTCTTATGCTGTTTCGAAAAACTGTAATTTGGATATTACAAAAATTTAGAGCTAGCTCTTATTTTACAAATGAAATATCTGAAGCCCAGAGGCTGTCTGCCTTCCTCAAGGTCACAGAAAGAAGGGCTTTGCAGCAGAGCCAGGATGAGTATCAAGACTATCAACTCACTCCATCACTCTCTAAACCACACTTCATGGCCTCTGCAAAGAAGCAGCATGACAACCTAGGAAATAGGGTTTAGCTTTAGTTTATACATCTAAAGAGAAGGGCACTTACATTTGTTTCATCTTTCTTGAGAAATCTGAACAGGATGTAAGAACTTACAGGGCAAATAGATAACACAACAAAGATGAATTTGTTTGACATAAACAATATTTCAGGTAGGTGCACACGTTATTACCTTCTGTGAAATCCAGATGCTTCGAAGGAGTTAATAAGGTAAAACGAGCCTAACTGACTTCAGCATACCGTTGACAGGTGTATGCAAGTGCTACAAAGAAATGGGGAGCTATTTTATGAATATATAATATTAAAATGACATTAGTCCTTTAACAACAGATTATTTCAATAGTTTATTTTTGTTAGTGATAGGAATATTTTGTCAGTAAATTAAAACAATTTTACAACAGGAAATGATAAGCTAGAACTAGATCTAGAAATTATACACGGCATTATTTTGAAATTTCAGGGGACAAAAGTGGTGGATTGGAACTTCACCTATCTTTTTTAAGCAAACGATACTGAATTAAGCACATTTTGAATAGAAAACAGTATCTGGTTCTTTCATACTTCAAATGTAAAAGTACTTCAATAGAGAAGATCCCATTCTGTGTCTATTTAAATGATATTACAATAGAAGGCAGTATGTGGCTCACAGAATGCAGAAAGTGAAGACATTAAGTAATGTAAATTTAAGAATCAGCTTTTCCATATTAAATAAAATCAATGATCACGTAAATTCAACATGATTATGATGACTAAAGCAAAAATACAAAGTATGATAGTTTTCAGTTTATTTGGCACATATATTAATACATTTTCAAACATCAAACAATATAACACCAATATCTACTAAAACCAACTAGCACAATAAGAGTTCTAAAACTTAATTATTAACCTCTTAAAAACTTAATTCCCATATGAATTCTGTAACCAAGCATATCCTTTGTGCTGTGCAAGCTTGTTGAAGCACCGTTTTTTTCAGGATTCCCCAGAATTCAAAAGAATGTCAAAGTTAACTCATGTTGAACCCCACGATTCCTTGTTGAACTTGGTGGATCTTATCTTCTGAATGGGTCTTCATTTATAAGAAGATATGCATACATTCATCACAGTTTTGAAAAGAATGGAAGGCCTTCATACATGTCAGTTTTTAATTTTATCCAATCATTAATTTTCTGCAGAGTTGTTTTTTCTTGACTTAATATTTTTGCAACTTTTTTCATTTTGTGTTCATTTCTTTCTATGTATTTCAACCCTTCCAGCTGCAGCTGATCCAGCTTTTCATTTCGACTTTCATCTAGAGGTATGTTTTCACACATTACAGGATTGAATCTAAAATAGGTGTCAGGAGGTAAAAGGCCATCAAGCATTATATGGACTTCTGTTCAAACACAAAAAGAAAGGGAGAAGGAGGATAAGAAAAGAGGGAATTGGGTGAATTGTTCTCTAAAAATCATTAATTTTATCTTTATTTAAAATTGTCTTTTTTTTAGGCACACTACAAAGACTTGCTTATTTCATTACTTAAACTAGCTAAGAGCAGAAGGAATCCATAATAATAAATAAAACTGCAAAATAAAATTCATCTTCTAAAATATTTTATATTATACGCAAACTAGGATACCTGTTCTCTCCTCTTTGTGCTTTTGGTCACACTGTTTGCTATTGCTGAAACCACATTCCAATCTTCCTTTTTTTATTTTTAAGTTTTGGGGACCATCTTTATTGCAGCAGAATTTACATACCACACAATTCACCATTTTTAACTGTATAATTTGACAAGTTTTGACAAATATATACAATTGTGTAACCACCACAATGATCATGATAGGACATTTCCATCACTAAGAAAAGTTCCTTTCAGTCTCTTTATAGTTGGTACCCCCTTTTCCTTTTCTAGAATTTCATACATACAGACTTATGAGTATAGAGTTCTTCTGTGTCTAATTTCTTTCACTTAGTAAAATGCTTTTGAAATTCATCCATGTTGCAGCACATATCAGTAGTTCATTTCTTTCTATTGTTAAGTAGTATTCCATTTTATAGATAAAACACAATTTGTCCTCTCCAGTTCTGTTCTGGCTTTCTTTAGTTTTTAGCTATTAGAAACAATCCTACTATAAAAATTTATAATTAAGTCTTTCTGTGAATATATGATTTCATTTCTTTTGGGTAAAAGCCTAGGGATAAAGCTGCTGATTCATATGGTAAAAATGTATGCTTATTTTTTTTTTTAACTGCCACACTGTCTTCTAAAATGACTGCATCATTTTGTAATCCAACCATTAATATATTAGAGTTCTCACTGCTCCGTATCTTTGCCAAAAGTTGGTATTGTCAAGTCTTAATTCTAGCATTCTAGAGGGTATGTAGTGGTATCCTGTGGTTTTAATTTTCATTTCCCTAATGACTAATCATGTTGAGAAGTTTTTCACGTACTTATTGGCCATCTATATATTTTTTTCAATCAAGTGTCTGCTCAAATCTTTGCCCTTTTTTTTTTACAGAATTGTGCATTTTATATATTCTTTACATTTATGTATATATACACACATATACATACATACATATATTGTAATATAAGGATACCCTACACATTTTGAATATGATTATATAATTAGATCCAATAAAGGGTCAGATATATGTTTTATCAACATTTTCTTACAATCTATGGCTTGCCTTTTCATTTTATTAAAATGTCTTTATTTTATTTTAAAGATGTAGGTTACAATTCAGGGTTAGGTATACAAGTAGTCATTGTACAGGTAAAGTTTGGGCCTCCCTTTGGTCCCCACTTTGCCAAAAAGAGTCTTTTAAGGAGCAAAGCTTGTAATTTGAAGTCTAATTTATCTACTTTTTTCTTTCTTTTTTTTTTTTGTTCATGCTTTCTATATCCTATCTAAAAAATCTTTACCTATCAAATCTCATTAAGATTTTCCCTAGCATATTCTTCTGTATGTTTTATAGTTCCAGCTCTTAGATTTCTACCTAAGACCAGAAAAACCATAAAAAGTAAGAAGTCTGTGCTCATCTCTTCTAGTTAAAAAAAAAAAAAAAAGGAATGAAGGGCATAAGATTAGAAAGGAAGGAGGAAAACTCTATTTATAGACAACATGATTGTTTATGCAGATAATTGTAAGGAATCTATAAAAAGCTACTAGAATAAGTTAGCAAGGTTGATGAATCCAAGGTCAATAAACAAAAATCAATTTTATTTCTGCATACTAGCAATAAGCAATTGACTATGATGCATTTCAAGATGCTTAGTGCTATGGTGTGAAAGGTCAAGGTTCAACTTTGTAGATAACAGATATCTAATCGTTCCAGCACCATTTGTTGAAAAGACTATCCTTTTCCATTGAGTTACCTTGGCATCTTTGTAAAAAAAAATATTTTGAGTTTACATTTATGGATCAAATACTGAATTCGCTATCACATACCATTCATCTATATACTATCTTTATTCAAATATCAAACTTCCTTGCTTACTGTAGTTCTGGAGTCTTGAAATCAGAGAAGATGTAAGTCCTCCAACTTTTTTTTCCTTCAAAATTGTTTTGGATATTCAAGGCCCTTTGTATATCCATATAAATTTTACAGTCAGTTTGTTAATCTCCATTCCCAAAAAAGACTCTTTGGAATTTGATAGGAATTGCATCAAGGCTGTAGATCAACTTGTGACATGATACCTTAATAATATTGAGATATCCAATTCATGGGTACAGTACATCTATTGGTTTATTTAAGTCTTCTTTGATTTCTCTCAGTATGTTTTATAGTTGTTACTGTTCACATCTTGCACATAATTTGTTAAATAGCACCCTACATATTATTTTATATATTTGGGTTCTTACATCAGGTATTTAATATTTTTGATGCTATTATAAATATCTTTCCATGAACATACTTAATTTCCATTTTTTCATTGCAAGTATACAGAAATACAATTGACTTTTAGTTATTGAACTTGTATTCTTCAACCTTGCTAAATTCACTTATTAGTTCTAGTAGTCTTTTATGGATTCCTTATGATTAGCAACATAGACAACCATTTTCCATGTTGTCTATAAACAAAGTTTTACCTCTTCCTTTCTAATCTTTATATCCTTCATTTCCTTTTATTGCCTTACTGCACTGGAGAAGGCCTCCATGCAATGTTTCCTGGAAGCGGTGAGAGCAGACACCTTAATCTGTTCTTGATTCAGTCATTCACCATTAAATATGATGCTAGTTCTAGGGTTTTTTTGTTTTTTGTTTTTGTAGACTCCCTTTATCAGGTTGAGGAAGCTCCTTTCTATTCCTAACTTGATAAGTTTTTATCATGAATGGATGCTGAATTTTATTGGATGTCTTTTCTGCATCTCGAGATGATCACATTTTTTCTTTTTTAGTCTGTTAATATGGCAAATTACATTCATTTTTTGAATGTTAATCAAACTCCATATTTGTGGAGTATAAATCCTATTTGATCATATTGTATTTTCTTTTATATATATTGTTGACTTTGATTTATTATTTTATGAATTTATGAATTAATGGGAAATACTTGACTGTTTTTATTTTTAAGTATAATGTATTTATTAGGTTCAAACATAACAAAATAAACAAATATTACAAAGAAAAATGCATATATTTAAATTAACCAGGCCAATTAAAAAAAAGAATTATATGGAGGAAAAACAATAATTAAAAATGCAAACTGAAATAATTGTTTAGTCAGAAGACTAAGAGATCACTTAGGTGAGCTGGAAGATTGATGCAGCAAATAAATATAGGGAACTATATGAGACGAAAACACCCTTCAAAGCTTTAGAGGAAAGGCACAAGCTCATAGGAGTTCCAGAGAAAACAGCAGAGAAGAAGGGGAAGAGTCCATAATTAAAAGTATAATGGCTGAAATATTTCCAAAAATGATTTAAAATGCCATTTTTAGATTCACAAAGCTCTAACACACCCCTAGATGCACAATAGTGAAATCAAAAACCAAAGGAAAAACTTAAATGCAGCTATAAAGAAAAGATCACTCTAAAAATAACAGCCAACAAACATTTAGAAATTTAAATATGATAAAATATTATCTTCAATGAGCTAAGAGAATAAGATATACGATCACCTAGAATTCTACACCGAGAAAAGTTGTCTTTCAAAAATAAGAGCAAAATAAAAATATTTTAGAAGAATAAAATCTGTGAGACCTTGCTACTAACTGATCTACACTCTTTATAAAGAACATGTTCGGAAGAGAAGCAAAATGACCCCATGTGGAAAGTCTATAATAGAAGGAATAATCAAAAATGAAAATGCTAAATATGAATGTTTAAAATACTAAACAAATAACAGTAAAGTCTAATTTGTGGTATAAAGCCAAGTTAAAGTAAAAGTACTAAATAATATTATACAAAAGAAAATGGAAAGTAAAATTATCATGAGATGGTAAAATATAGATTAAATATTTACAGTGTTAAGTAAAATACATTTAAATCACTTGAGTAACATTTAAAATACTAAAAACCAAGTGTATATTTTCATACTAGTAATAGGAAAAAAATAATATGGAAGAGCAATCCAGACAACCCAAAAGAAGAGAAAAGAAGAAAAAGAATGAGAAAGAAAGAATGAGAATAGACGGGAAGAGGAGGGAAGGGGGCAGGAGGAAGGTTAAATGGATAGTAGCAAATAGCTCAACAGAAATACTTCCAAAAAAAAGTCCAAATATGTCAAAATAGCAAACAATAGAAATAGATGTAATTATTCAGTTAAGACATTAAGTAACAAAACAAAACCCAGCTATACTGTGTTTACAACAGCAGCATCTAAACTATAAAACAGTTATTATGGGCAACTTGCACTGTGGGAGCTTTTCTGTTCTCTCAATATGGTGAATTACATTTATTTTTTTGAATGTTAATTCAACTTCATATTTGTGGAGTAATAAATCCTATTTAATCATATTGTATTCTCTTATATATATATATATATTGACTTTGATTTATGAGTATATTTTATCAATTTCTGCCTGTACATTAATGGGAAATACTTGTTGACAGTTTTCTTTTTTAAAAAATAACTTTTGTCTGGTTTTGGTGGCAAGGTAATGCTAGTTTTACAGACTAATCTAGGAAGTATTCCTTCCCTTATTTTCTACACATGATTATGCAGAATTGCTGTCAATCATATCAAGTGTGATTATTGCTTCAGATATTGAATTTTTCACCTCTAGAGGTTTCATTTGGGTCTTTTTTTTATAACTTCCATTTCTCTCTTCTTCATGTTCATTTCTTCTATCTTAATGAACACATGGAATATACATGTAATAGTTATTGCAATAGCTTTGTCTGCTAATTCTGTCATGTTTCTTTTGTAGGTCTGTTCCAGTTGATTGAGGTTTCTGCTGGTTAAGGCCTTTGTTTTCTTGCTTAAGGGCTGTCTTTTTTTTTTTTTTTTGTATGCCTTGTAATTTGTGTGTGTGTGTGTTAGAAACAGGGTCTTGCTGTGTTGCCCATGCTGGTCTTAAACTCCTGGCCTCAAGTGATCCTCCCACCTCAACTTCCCAAAGTGCTGGGATTACAGGTGTGGGTAATTTTTGATTGAATATCAGACATTGTGAATTGTATTCCTTTAAATATTGCCGGATTTTGTTCCAACAATAGGGTATGTTAATTGGACTCCATCTGCTCTTCTTGAGAAATGCTTTTAAATTTTGTTAGGGTGGATCCAGAGCTGTCTTAAGAGCTAATTTGATGCCACTACTGAGGCAATACCTTTTGAGGACTCTATCACTTATCTGTATATAACAGTCTTTCTAATCTAGTTGATGGAAATCTGAGCTATTCTGGGTTCTGTGTAAACTCTAGAGATTATTCTGTCTAACCCTTTCTACCTCACATTGGATAGTTTCCTCATGTGCATTCATCAATCAGTACTTAGTCAAACACTCAAGGGCTCTCCTCTGCATATCTCCGAAGCATATTCTGTGTGAAATTGCCTCCTCTGTTGTACTTTGCCCATAAACTTTAGTTTCCTTGGCTGCCTTGAACTCTGAGCTCTGTTTCCTCAATTCCCAGAGACTGCTGTTTTGGTTCTCCCTCCCTGTGCTATATAATGTAGAAACTCTTTTCAGGTAGTAAGCTGGGGAATCATGGTGATGACCTCATTCATTTTTCTTCTTTCAGAGATCACTGGCATCTGCCACTTGTCATCTGGTGTCTGAAAGCCATTGTTTCGTCTTGTTTTTCCTATTGGTTTAAGGTGAGAGGAAATATGACCCCTAATATTCTAAGATGGCCAGAAGAGGAAGTCTTAACCCCCCCTTTAAAACCCATAGCAAGTCTAATTTACTTCTTGTAAGCTGTCTATACCAATCAAGTTTAGTTTTCTCATTCCTTCTCTTAATTCATAGTCTTAATCAACTATAATCATTCACCATTTACTTAGCTATTGATTATATTTTAGATGGAATCATATGAAATTTCTTTTTTGTAGGGCAATAACAATCTAGTATCAGCAATGACATGTTTCAATGTAATTCTTGTTACATGTTTTCAAGGTTAAAGATTATTAAACTTTTCATGTGGTTGTCTCAGTAACTGGAATGCAGGTATACTGATGCAACATTTCATGTTTCCTGAAAATTTCAAATGAGCCCATTACATGGTTTGCACAATGTATAGACTTAAGTACTATGAAACTAGCTGGTCAATGCCATTTGTCTCAGTAAATGACTTATGGTAAGAATATTTTATTGAACAATCAGGGAAATGCACATTAGAACCACAATGAGATCCCACCTTACATGTGTTGGGTTGGCTATTATGAAAAAAAAAAGAGATAATAGATGTTAGTGAAGAAGTGGAGAAAAAGGGAACCTTGTAAACTGTCCCTGTGAATGTATATTGGTACAGCTAATACAGAAAACAACATGAAGATTCCTCAAAAAATTAAAGAGAACTACCATATGAACCAGCTATTCCACTCTGGGTATAAAGCTGAAGGAAATAATCAACATCATTGCAGCACTATTCACAATAGCCAAGATATGAAGACAACCTAAGTGTTTGCGGATGGATGACTGGATAAAGAAATTATGGTGTATATACACACACAGAGGAATAATATTCAGCCTTTAAAATGAAGGAAATTCTCCCATTTGAGACTACACAGATGAACTTGGAGAACTATGATAAGGGAAATAAGCCAGACACAGAAAGACAAATATTTATAGTATATAATATCACTCAAATGTAAAATCTGAAATAGACTTTAAGAAAAAGGAGTAGAATGGTGGTTGTTAGACGCTGGGGGGTGGCAGAAACAGGGAGATATTGGTCAAAGGGTACAAACTTTCAGTTATAAGATGACTAACTACTAGAGATGTAATGTACATGGTAACTATAGTTAATAATAATGTATTGCTCACTGGAAATTTTCTAGAAGAGTAAATCTTAAGTGTTCTCACCACAAACACACATAATGGTAACTGTCAGGTGATAGGTATGCTAATTAACTGGATTGTAGGACTAATTATGTAAAGTATATGTGTATCAAAACATCATGTTGTATACCTTAAACATATACGATTTTTTATCTGTCAGTCAGACATCAATAAAGCTGGGGGAAAATAGTTTATTGATTTGACAACATTTCAGATAGTGAAAAATAAGCTTCTCTTGGGTTATCATTTAATGCATAAAAGTCCTTAATGCGGAGTTTAAGACTCACTATGCCAATGATACAGTCAACAACATGATGATAGAGAAAGAATGCGATTCAAAAATAAGCAGTTGTTAAGTGATAAGAAATTTAAAAAAAACCCTAGTAACAGATTTCACATAAGACCTAAGAATAAATAATAAAATGGGAAGATCTAAACCTCAAGGTCTAAACTAGAAATTCGACATTTACTCACCAATGCCCACTCTGTGCCAGGCATTGGAGTCAACTATAAGCTGGGTAAGTTAAAGTAAACTAGATAAGTTCTTGCCTTGCATTCTTGTGGATAGAGAGATATTAGCAAGTGAACAACCAAATATGTGATATATATATCTATATCCATAATGAGATAAATGCTCTAAGAGAAAAGAAAAAGAAAAAAAAAGAAGGATAAGGGACTGGAGTGAGATGGTGAGGGAGGTGGAAAAGCGATCAGGAAAGGTCTCTCTCTGAGGAAGTGATGTTTCAGCAGATACTGGAATGAAGTGAGAGCCAAGTACATATCTGGGGAAATAGCCTTTTAGAGTAAGAGTACAGCAAATACAGAGGCCCTGAGGCAGGAGAGTTCTTACCAAGTTTGAGGAATGGCAAGACTGCAAGTGTGGCTGGACATGCTTTAGAGAAAGATCAAACTAGGAGCAAGAAGACATGCATTCAAAGGCTAGTCTTAAGGGGCCTGGCAAACGTCAGTGAATGAAGCTTTTGGATTTTGTTCTAGGTGTGATGGGAAGTCTAGTGAATTTTTTTTTTTTTGAGTTGGAGTCTCACTCTGTCACCCAGACTGGAGTGCAGT